AATCTCTGCATACAAGGGTAACAATAGTAATAGAGACTATTTGTACTACATTATGCATACCATTGTAACATTAACTCTACTCTCCCCTGATAGAATATCTTCAGTGAGATGGTTTGGTGTCCATGTGATGTTCACTGTTTCTACAGATTTGAACACAGTCTGGGAACTTGTTGTGTGTACATCTTCCATAGTGTCACTCATAGATGGAACAACTATAGTTCAGTAATTTAATTAATTAATGTCCCAGATTAAACGAATATAGTACTTACTGTATCTATATTTAGTACGTCCAGTTAGTACAGCAGGTCCCCTTGTTATTCTAATTATTAGTTCAACAATACCATCATTATATTGTTCTGGTGTTATGCATAGACACTTTTCTCCACTGATATAGTAACCCTCTGTCACTATATCACCAAATATACAGTTTATTGTGTCTTCTGGCTTAAAATCTGGTCCTGTAATTAATACTAGTTCTCCTCCAAATACTTTGCCAATAGTTTTACTAGCATACACTGGAAATGATCCTATTACATTATTGGATACATTGTAAGATTTTATCAGCACATGCATGATAAGTAATATACCTTGACACTTAACACCTGCTTCATTATACTGTCCACAAGTTTTAACAGAGTAAGTTCCCCTAGTGCAGTCTAGTAGTCTGAATTCAGAGCCAGTACACTGAAGGTCAGATACAAGGACTGGTTTAAGACTTGGACCATAATAGGAACCATAACGAGGTACTGCTCCTATAATTAAAACAAGCTATAAAATACATGTTTGATACCTTGATTTAATATTCAACTGTATTATCAAGTATATTAGTAGACTACATATAAAATAATGTGTTATTGGCTCTGTTCTTATTGTTGGCTTTATTCCCATCAAAAAAATCCTTTTTATAATATTTAATTTTTGTCAAAATAAAGTGGATAATCTTTTATAGCCATTGAATCATAAATTGTTGTTATAACCATAGAAGTCTTTTGTTTCAATAAAATTTGACTAAAACCAATCCAATAATGGTGTCAACCATAATTTTGTATCAATTAAAAATTTATAAATTGCTATTTGATTGAGGTGTCTCTTCTTGTGCAACAAATTTGTGCTTTATTTATGTAAAATAAAATTACATGCAATTCACTAACCTGATGGATAGTATCCTAGTTGATCACAGACTACATTTGCATCATTAGTACTCCATCCATCATCACAAACGCTTCCCCAGGCTCTATTAACACACACTTCCACTCTTCCTTGTGTCTTAGGAAAACCAGCAGGTGCAGATAGTCTAACTGCACCAGTAGTACAATCAGCATAAGTAATACCACTTGCTAAATTAGAAAAATAATTTTGACATAATTATACTCTGCATACCTTCTTGGCATATGACACCAGCATCATTTGATTCACAGATTGATTCTAGTCCACCATATGTAATGTTGCAAATGTGAAGAGTATTTTCTTCTCCAGTGCAATTGAGAGAGTCAACATTAGTTGGTATTGATGTAGTGCTTGGACCATGAGAAACAGCAATAGCACCTATTCATGTTAATGTATGGTAATGTACATATTTTTAAAT